AATCTGTCTATGGCGTTCCAAGCAGCTTCACTTCTCAGCATAACTTCAACAACATTACCTGGGGTAATTCTGCGACTCAATGTCTCTTCCACATCGTCGCGTGCAGCACCAAATCGCAGGCACACAAAAAACACATGCTCAGCATCCTCGATTTCGCCCAAAGAATATGGGCGAGCTATCGTGCTGGAAGCGGTGAAGGTAGGCTCGAAAACAGCCGTGTCCAGATAGCATTTGCGTAGTATAATATTTTACTTCTCCATGCTTGCGACTTAGCCAGACTTTGATGTTTGTAATCTGACGATGCGTCCATATACCCTTCATTGCGACATCCCACCGTTGCTGCCATCGGTCAATGCTGTTCTGCCGTTCTTCTAATCTCAACTTTTCAGGACTTAGTTGTTGTTGTCTTCTATGGTAAATTGACCGTCTCTGCTAAGACTAAGATAGGCACAGTTCATGAAATGACGCACACTGCTTCCGCCGATATTGTGCGAAATGCGCAGGCAATTCTTACAGCACTCAGACGATATATGGGCCCTGCCATTTTTCTCGAATTTTGAGATTTAAGAGCATTAGCCCATATTGAGATACCATATGTCAGCACCGAAGTAACAACAGACGATAGTAATATCCTTCTGGTTTGTTTAGGACCTCCAACAGTAGGCATCAGTCGAGCAAGTTTCATCCTAACTATTGACGCCTTAGTGTTCCACTTGTTGATTGAAATTCAAACGAGCATCGAGCATTACGCCAAGGTAACAGATGTGAGGTTTTGACGTGATCTCTAGATTTTCTATCTTTAGCTTGATGGTCTCTATTGTTTTTCTACTAGTGATAAGAACAGCTTCACTTTTTTGTTGTGCTAATTGGAGGTTCATTGTTCCCATCTAGCGATTAATTTTCCTAAATGTAATATCGAATAGACATACGATGTCATCAATTTGTTTGGAGACAACTACTATGGCAACATCGTCTGCATATGCTACTAGTTTCACACATTCTGGAATCTCTAGTCTCTAGATATAACTTTTCGTGTCATAATTAATGTTTGTGTGTGTATAAGTACTAATCATTTGAGATATTACGAGTTCACTTGTTTGTTCATTTGATTTTCCATGTTAGTGAGGTTATAACAAATTATTATTTCATATTATACACCATTGATTCTATTATTCACTACAATTTCACACACCAAGTTTCGTTTTTAATTTCACAAAATAATATTTTATCACCACATTAATTTTTATTAATTTTATCACAGTTTACACACTATTATTATTGTTTTTACTTAAAGATATAACACTGGAACAACGCTTCGAGAACTTTCTTGTAGCCGAACCATGGTATAACGGTATAACACAGTATAACTCTGATGATTAATGTGCGGTTCATGTATTTATATTTAATGCAATAAAAATATGAGTTAATTAGCGTATATATATATATATATATATATATATATATATATATATATATATATATATGAGTGAGTTCTTGAGGGCGATACATCAAACAAAGAAAAGCCAATAATTTATAAAATAATCTCAAAACATGTGTTCATACATGCCTCGATACTCGCAAAGTACAGAAGTCGTGGCAGAAATTACATAATTCTACTTACATTTTTGTTCAATAAAACTATCATTTTTCTGTTTACATCATACAAAAAATTATAAAAAATGCATAGTGTTGACAAGTTAGTTGTATAAATGTTAGTGCCAATCTCTAGTGCTGTGTACACTTTTCTATATGTAACCAACCAACATAATGTAAGTCCACTTGTATTTTATATGTATTATCCATCTTCATAAATATTTTGTTTGCTTTACATATATACGAGTTTACATATATTGTATGTTATATATATATATATATATATATATATATATATATATATATATGTATTTGTATGTGTATATGTATATATATGTATATTACTTATTTACATGTATGTTTGTATGTATATACATATGTATATGTGTATACATGTATTTGTATATGCGTATATATGTATGTATGTATATATATATATATATATATATATATATATATATATATATATATATTTGTGGGCATTTATGTACATATGTATATATATATGTATTGTGTATATATATATATATATATATATATATATATATATATGTATATATATGTGTATATATGTATGTGTGTATATATGTATATATACATGTTTATGCGTATATGTAAGTGTATACGTGTTCTTTTTTTTTTTTAGAGGTGCGAAAAAAATCTTCATAAGACACCGCCATCGTTGATACTCCACTGTCCATCCTACAGCAGACAACGACGGACGGCAGTGTGGAGATTTTTACCCACTAAAAAAAACACTCCTCTCTCCTCTCCCCGCAGATGGTACGGAGAGGACTGGATTGGAACCGCGTTAGCATTACATCAATCCAGTACGTGCTGCGCCTTGCGACGCCTGTTTTCGACTACTGGTCCCTTTCTCCGGTTTTAGCCTTCAAAAGATGCTGTGCATAAGCTGCTACAGCTGACCAGTTTTCTTCTTGTTTCATCATATAGGTCACAAGACTTGAGGGGGTGAGCTTGGTGCCTATAATGTGCTCGGCGTTGTTGCGATATTCCTTCCACCGAGCACATTCAAAAAACGTGTGCTCAGCGTCGTCGATTTTTTTTGGACAGTATTTGCACATTGGCGTGCTATGCAGGCCCATCTTAAAAAGATACGCATTAAACTGTCCATGTCCTGTCAGTAGCTGGGTCAAAAAGAAATCTGTGTCGCCGTATTTTCGAGAGAGCCAGGCGCTAATGTTCGGGATCAGGCGCGCCGTCCATCTGCCCGTCTCTCCTGACGTCCACCGATCTTGCCACTCTTGTAACGTTTCATTTTTAATTCTCGACCTTGTTTCTGTGGAATTTTCGCCACCTAATTTAGCGTCGTAGAGTTTTACTCTCTCGAAAGCTAGCAAGTCAATCGGTGTGGCTCCTGCTATTACCAGTACGGCTACTTCTGAGACCGTGCGATAGGCACAGGTAACTCTCAGAGCTCCTCGTCTTTGCACTGCCGATATTTTGCGCCGATAAGTCTTTTGCTTGAGGATATCCGCCCATATTTCCGCTCCGTATAGCAATACAGAATGGACTACCTCAAGCAAGACTCGTCGCTTTCGGGTTCGTGGTCCCATGCAGTTAGCCATAATCCTTGACAGGTTGGATACTGTCTTGCTAGCTTTCATGCATGCACTATCGAGATGTTCACGGAAGGATAGCTTCTCATCTATCATTACTCCCAGGTAGCGCAAGGCCCTTGTCGACGTCAAAGTTGTCTCTCCCACGTCTACGGTGAATGGTTTTGGAAACCATTTTTGTCGGGTCAAGACAACCATCTCCGTTTTTTGTTTGGCGAGTTTTAGGTGGTGTTTCTCAAGCCAGGTCTCTATGGTGTCGACGGTCTCTCGAACGAGTAGTTCAGACTCCTCAATGCTGTCCACTACGATTGTGGCTGCGACGTCGTCCGCAAAGCCCGTGAGTTCCACCTGCTTCGGCAAGGGAATCTCCAGGAGCTCGTCGTAGACAGCGTTCCACAAATCGGCTCCTAAGATTGAGCCTTGAGGTACCGCAGCTGTAACCTCGTGTTCTTGATGACCTTCCGTCGTTTCCACTATCAACGTTCTCCCATCGAGGTAGTCGTCTATTAATCCTAGATTTTCTGGCTTTACGTCAAAATTATGCTCTAGCGCGTGTAAAATATCCTCCCAATTCGCACTGTTAAACGCGTTTTTAACGTCGAATGTGAGAAGGAGACACACTTTACGAGCTTTAAGACTACCACGCCATGCTTCTCTTGCTGTTTCCGTTACCTTCCTAATCGCGCCGATCGTCAATCGTCCTCTTTGAAATCCGTGTTGGTTCTTAGCAAAACCTCCGGCGCATTCAATGTCGTTGCGCAATCTGCATTGAATAAGTTTCTCAAGCAGTTTTCCGGCGATGTCTAACATGCAGAGTGGTCGAAACGACGATGGCGTTACAGGGGTTTCCTTACCTTTGTCTATTAGGACCAATCTTTGCCGCTTCCAGACCGTAGGAAAGGTGCCGGTCGCCAGACAGGCATTGTAGGCGTTCAGAAGAATATACGGAAATTCCAAGGCTACAATCTTGATCACTGAGGCTGGGATGCCATCAGGGCCTGGTGCTTTGCCAGTTTTTATGGTTTTCGCCGCATCTTGGAGTTCCTTGACAGTGAAGGGCGTGGTTTCACTGTTTTCCACGTATTGTCTCCTTTTCCGTGGCGGATGTTTAGGGAATAGTTCCGCTACGATAGAATTCATCAGAGCAGGAGATTTCGGTGCTTCTGGTAAAGCTCTACCAAGTCGTTTTGTAACGATTTGATAGGCTTTGCCCCAGAGATCCTTGTCAAGGTCATTGCAGATTTCCTTCCACAATCCGGCTTTAGCTGCTTTTATGGCTTTATTTAGGCTTTTTTTTGCCTGTTTGTACTCGTTTGTATACAAATCTTGGTAGGGGGAGCGTTTTGCAGCTATTGTGGCGCGGCGACGTAATGCGTGGCATCTTTTCCGTAGTTCTGCTATCTCTGATGACCACCAATATGCTGGACTGTGCACAACCTGATTCTTTGGTCGTGGCATAGAGGCGTTACATGAGGTGACAATAGCGTTCATAGTTTTAAGAATCGTTTCTTCCGTTTCTCTGCGGGTACTTAGTTTTGGATCAGCTTGGAGAGTAGATGCGTTTTGCTCGAGGGCTGCTCGCAACGCTTCCTGGTCAAGCTTCTTGGCATTCCACCTTCGTTTGCAAAAGTTGCTTGGTCGAGTCGGACCGGATCCAATACTAAATGTCACATGTTGGTGATCACTGCCACTATACTCTTCAGATACAGTCCAGTCTCCAATCATGTTCGCCGTCCTTGGAGTGGCAAATGTAATGTCGAGAATAGATTCCTGATACCCTGGTCTTCTAAAGGTTGTAATACTTCCAGTATTTAACACAGTAAGGTCTTATCTTGCAGCAAAGTCTGCCACGTCATTTCCTCTAGTGTCCGAGTATTCGGCCCCCCATTCTGCCGATTTCGCGTTGAAATCACCAGCTACAATGACTTCTCCGTCGAATTTGCCGAGAGTGTCTTCTATGCTTGCCATTTTCTGGCGAAATACGCTAATCCCTTCATTTGGTGAGAGGTAGACGCTTACACAGTAGGTCGTGGGAGTCTTGATCCAGACGAAACCCTCGCCGCTTCCGTTGTCATTGATGGTGATCTTCTTCGAGTTTGTGATCCATATTGCTGCCGTGCCAGATTTATCTGCAAACCATGCTTTATTCTGAATATTCATATATTGCTCGCAGATAAGGCAGATATCGATCTTATCTTCAAAGATACGTTGGCGCAGTAGATTCTGCGCCAAAGCACATCTGTTCAGATTACCTTGTAGAAATCGCGTCATTTCTGTTCTCTCGTGGCTTCGGCAAGTGCTACACGGAATGCTTTACAGGTACCGGATCCGGCGACATGGCTCACGCTGTTTCGATCTTCTTTGTCTACTGTACATAGAAAGCATTTTGGCTTTTCTGCGCAGTCTACAGACTTGTGATTTTCCCCGCCGCATTTGTAGCAACACTTGCTTCTGTCTGGTCCCCCGCATTTATGCGTTTGGTGTCCGAAACCGAGGCATCTAAAGCAGCGGGCTACTTTAACAACTGGGCGAATGCGACAGTTAACCCACCCAATTCTTATGCGGGCCCCATTTACGGCTTTGATTGCATTAGCCTCGTCTATCTCACAGAAGGCCGCTCGTTGTCCTCTTGATGTGACTTTGGTCAAGTTCACTCGTCGTATTTCCAGTTTTGTCGTAAAGTCCCGAATGAGTGCTTTGCAAACGTCATTTTTGGTAGAGACACCATCAAGGTCAAGAATCTCTATCGTCGTCAGCGGCGTCAGTGATTTCACTGTTTCTATGTTTTCAGTTGCTGCCCTTATCGCAGCTGCAAAGGCTGCACTATCTTCGGACTTGGGACTCATTTCCAGTAATACACCTCCATTTCTTGTCTGTTTGATGGACTTTATGTCCACGCCAGTCTCTGTCGGGTTTACTTTTTCCTTGATCTCCTTAAGGATGTCAGCGTACGTTCGTCCTTCAGCTGGTTGAACCAGAACAGCCTTGGTTCTATGTTTCCTCCGAGTTGTCCTATGATGGTTGTTTCTGTGCTCAGCACTATCATTTGTTTCAATTTTTCTGGTTTCCGGTTTCTCGGTTTCCTCAAAGGTTTCTTTCGGATCTCGGGCTCCTTTCTTCTTCGAACTTCGTCGAACCACTTTTGTCCAGTTATTTTCTACAGCCGATTTTTTAGGCGGATGTGTTTCCGCGTCAGAGGTGGGACTAAGTGAAGATAGCAACCTTTTGTTTGTGTTTTGCTCCTGGGTCTTAGGAGTTGGCGTCTGAGTTACACCCGGTTTAATAGTTTTCTCAGGAGAGGTCTGTGTAGTTTGCACTGTCATTTCGAGAGCTTTGGGGGTTGCCGTATATTCTTTCAATGCCAGGCTATATGCTGTATCAATCGACCTAATTAGCTCCTTTATTCTGCTGTGAACATTGTTTCTATCTTTCACATACTCCGCTAGCTCGTCAATTTTGGAGCCAAGTCTCTCCATCGGCGTTTGACGACATCTAGTCGATGGTGCAGAGTTTACTCTGTCACGGTGAAGATTTCCGGGAACCTTCTTGCCTCCTTTTACTATAGCGGCTTTTGCCGCATCGTGCTCGACGTCCATAATTACGTCACCTGTCTCTTGTTTTTTTGGGTTTTCATAGTTATCCATGCTATTTGAATAGTCCTCCAGAGCAAAAGGCCGTATCCAAACGCGGTGCCTTGGGAAGTGGAGGGGTGATCACCCCTACAGCTACCTCCATTACTGTAAGAGCTTGTGACCATTGGAGTGGGAAAAGAAACATCCGCTCCGGCCGTGCACCTTCTTCCTTCATTGGCATCCTCTTGCTCCCGTGGGTGCGGCACGTTGATGCCGGGAGTTTCCACGTACGGTGCGCTATATGGATCATCCACACATCTCTTTCGAGCAGTGTCCCCTCATCCGCTTCCGTATGTGACCCTAGGTCAGATGGCGTGACCAACCAAAAGGGAGTTTTTAATTTTTTCCGCGATACACGGACGGTGGCTGTTGCTCCTCAGCTCCGATGCCATATTTGGTCCGCGAGGGCTATTTTATTTCGCCCCAATCCGCCGATCTTACGATCGGTTAGGATACCCCCTATCCGCCACCTGGGGACGCGCCCGGTAGGAGTTTGGCTTCTCCCGACGGGAAGTGTATACGTGTATAGCTATAGTTACATAGATAGGTATGAGTATATGTATGTTTCATACATGTACATGTACGTCGTTGTGAATATGCATGCACGTTGCATATATGTATATACGTATATTTATATATGTATAGTCGTACATGTATATGTGTACATATATAGGTATCTGTATATGTATATGTGTATTATATGTTTGCATGTGTGTATATGTATATATGCATGTATATATATATATATATATATATATATATATATGTATATGTGTGTATATGTGTATGTATATATATGTATATATGCGTAGGTTTATATGAGTGTACTTAGATATTTTTGCCTATTTTTTTTAATTATTTATTTAATTCTAATCTCTACTACCTTTCCTATCTTTTATATTTGGTTTGTTGTTAAGTGTTGCTGTTTGTTAATTTTTCTCTTATTGTATAGTTACTTTACCAATCCACATATATTATAATTACCTAGATATACTAATTTTCATACTGTTTTTAGATCCACTGATGATGACATTAAATTGAATGTCGAAACGTTTGGAAATAAAGATTATTTTATAAATCTTTGGCTTTTCTTTGTTTGATGTATCGCCCTCAAGAACTCACTCATATATTTCAACATCAAAATTAACTACTAAATCATATATATCTTATATATAAAAATGGAGCTGTCTTTCAAATGTCCGAATAAAACTCGAAAACGGCTGAATGGATTTGGCCAGTCTTAGTCTTGAAAAATGCGTGCCAATCCAGAGATTGTCGGAAAAGTGAGATATTATTTCAAAATCGCGTAGAAACTTTACATTTTTAATTCGAAATTTTTTGTTGAAGCGTAATGTAAATAAAACAATGGACGGTGGTTAATACTTGAAATGTCAAACGTTTTTGACAGATGATGTTCGATTATGTTTCATAGGATGTTTTACGTGAATATTATTTAATTATGATTAAATTGTAGCAAGTAGTTTTGTTTGTAGTTTTATTTACATACAAAAACGTTAGTAAACGGGCCGAAAGTGTAACTAGAAACTCAAAATATCAACTTATTTTAAATGTTAATATGAAAATGCACTTTTTGGCATATTTTTCTCAAGCACGAAGCTCTGAAAGATCTCATTTGTATCATTATTTACTCATTGGTATTTATAAAATATTTTCTAGGTTATATTATTTTTTATTTATGTTATTTAAATTCAGAACCTAAATTTGGTATCGATCAAATGGACATTTTGTCGAATAACATTTTGCCAGTTATAATTTCCCAGAATTTATCGAAGAATAGATAGTATATGAAGGTCCGGGGTTAAAAAGGTCCACCACCGATGTGTCAAAAATCAGTAAACTTAAGCATTGTTTAACAAGGAATTGAAAAGTAGAGGGCAAAAGATGTATAACCAGCTATAACTTTGATTCTTATGACTTTGCTATCTGGAGATAAACTATAATCTTTGAAAATCCAAAATAAAAGTATTTTCTTCCGTTGGTAGTTTTTTAGCATTAGTTAAAAGTGTAATCATTCTGTAAAAGACCTTTAAAATTAAAATAAGACATTAAACCTCTTTGCCACCTGGTCGTTGCAAGTTCCCCTGTCTATGGGGTAAAAAGGTCTAGATAACAAATTTTTGAGAGACAGCAAAAAAGCACATTTCTACAATGACGAAGTAGCTGACAGTTTTACTGAACGTAGTCAGATAATTGTTCGTTTGAAATGTGTTATTTGTTTTGACATAATTGGTTTGCTTTTCACAATATAGTTTATATTTGCTCAAAGTCAAATTGGACCTTTGTGCCTCGCCCTGTTCTACATATATACTTTTTATTAAATTTACTTTAATTCATCGAATGTTGTTGAAACTCTTCAAAAAGCAGGTCAAAGAAATACCTAATTCATCTCTCCTCGCAGAAAGAAAAAAATGTATAAGCTCAATAGTATTATTTACAATTATACATAAAATCCTGAATCATAAAAGAATCTGAAAAACTTGAAACGTAATCAATAAGTCGAAAGACCAAAAATGACTTGGATTGGATTATACCATGTTGTCTATAAAAAGTGTATAAAACTTCCAGTTTGATTGTATTGATAAAATATAGACAAACTAATTGTACCTTACCTTACTTAGCAAAACAACGTTTGCCGGGTCAGCTAGTATATATATAAAAATGGAGCTGTCTTTCAAATGTCCGAATAAAACTCGAAAACGGCTGAATGGATTTGGCCAGTCTTAGTCTTGAAAAATTCGTGCCAATCCAGAGAATGTTCAAAAGGTGAGATAATATTTCAAATGCGCGTAGAAACTTTACATTTTTAATTTGAAAATTTTTGGTAAACAGCACTTGATTCAAAATGGCTTCCCACACAATATTATTCAAATGACAGATGTATCGCATACTCATATGTCAAATAGACGGTTGTCAAGTTGGAACAGATTATGTGTTATTCTTTTAATTTTAAAATTTAATTATTTATATATTTTTAAATACTAATAAGAATGCTTATTTTGATTTTATATGAGGTTTTCATTTAATTTTCAAGTGTTTGCTCACTGCCTATTTGTATTCTTCTATCAACAGCTTGAAATAATACTATTATTATTGATTGATTAAGGCTTGCTTATGAAAAAATAAATAAATAAATTTGTTTCAAACGCTGTGCTGTGCAAGTACTTATTGGTTTATTGTGAATAATGTGTTACCATAACATTTTCTGAATTATATTATTATTGCATATAGATTATTCAAATTGAGATCATAAATTTGGAATTCATCGAAGGGGACACCATAGACAGCGATATGAATAAGAAAATTAGATTATAACACAGATAGTAATTTTAGAAATCATATTTATAAAAATCTCAATTATGTGTACATACAAGTACAAGATCTTCGGAAACAAAGTTGTTAGAAAATTGCTTATGAAGATCGCTTTATGACATGTTACATCAACATAAGTGCAGTTTAATTAGATATGGAAGTAATCATTACAAATATTTACAGTACAATCTATTTACAATACAAATTTTACATTACAATTGTGAATAATGTGTTACCAAAACATTTTATGAATTATATTATTATTGCATTTAGGTTATTCAAATTGAGATCCTAAATTTGGAATTCATC